GTACCTCCACCATGGCAAAATTATCCCACGTGGCCTCACATATCGTTGAGGTGGATGCCACATGGCATGCCACCTCATTGCACCTATCCTATTTTATCCCTTCCCCTACTTCTTTCACCATCACCTCCCTCTTCACCCAACCTTCACCAATATCGCCTCTTCCTTCACCACACATGTATTCTTTTACCACCATCAACCACTTGCCTTGGCCGCCTTTCATAAAAATTAATATAGAATTTTGATTTCTTGGTTTCATTTTCGGATACCAAAGTGCCAAAGCTTGTTGGAGCAGCTTTAGCGGACAGTAGTTTATTTTGTCAAAAGATAAAGGAGGAAAAGAATAGTGTGTCCAAATGCATTGACAAAATTTAAGTGCATTGTGCAAGTTGGTAAAAGAAGGAAAAAAATATGGAAAATCTATATAACCTATTACTATAAAATTAAATTGCAAAGATGAAAATGGTAATTAAATACAACTATCTCTATGATACAAAGTGGAGCTTTGTAGCTGGAAATGGGAATCTAAAACTGCTTCTAGCATAAAGTAAGCGAAGGAGGTGGCATAAGGTAGCAATGTAACGACTTTCTTTTCTCTTTTTCAAAAGTATACTAGCGGCAATGACTCCCTATAAGAAAATCTTTACATACTAAAATCCTAATCATTGAACTAGAAACCAAATATACCACTGTATAAAAATATTTTATTGTGCTCTGAACATTTTAGTAAATCGAGAATTATGAGATTTTCCTTCTTGTTGTGGCAGCTTGAAAGCATCTTTCACTTCATTGAGTTTATTTAGTTGCCAAATGGTCCTGGGTCTCACATTAGCTGAAACCAAATCCGAAAATGAAACCAAGAAATCAAAATTTTCGATAGATTTTTAGTGAAAGAATGGTGGCCAAGACTAATGGAATTTGATGGCGGTGGAAGAATAGGTGTATGGTGAAGGAGGAGGTAATGTTGGTGGTGGTTGGATGAAGAGGGAGGTTGTGGTGGAAGAAGAAGTAGGGTAGGGGAGAAAATGGGATAGGTGTGATGAGGTGGCATCCACTTCAACGATATGACAGTCCACATGAGATAATTTTGCCATGGTGGAAGGTTTTAACGGCAGAGCGGTATTTTTACACCCATTTTATGACGTCAGGGGTTGTTGTGGACCAATAGTATAACGGAGGATATAAGTGAACATTTTCGAACAGTAAAGGATCATTTTTTACCCTTTTCCGAAAAAACTATAATAATTCTAATGCTAGTGGTACGATTAACAAATGTATGTACCCATTGTTTAATCTTAAGTTTATTACTTTAATAGTTTTAATGAGATAATATTTCTTAATTTAACAAGGTCTAGGGGCCTACAAGTGAAACAAAACGATCTGAAAAGAACTGACACTTGTTTCATAGACAACATTTACCTACTTAGTTGATAGTCTCTGAGTCTAGCTCTGGCTCTAATTTTTTGACATTAATTTGGGATACTAGACCTAGTAAATGTTAGGAGTAATAAATTTATGTTAAAGACTAATTAATGACTCAAAGATCAAGAATTTTCACACAAATGACCACTCTATTCCCCTACAATAGGTTCGCTTAGCTGTAAATTTTGCCTTTTAGTACATAAACATTTAAAATTGCTTTTTTCATACTTGCAGTAGCAGAGGTTCCTATAAATCTACTTCCCCTACCTATACCAAAGCAAGATGCCAGTGCTGATTGGGATAATCATGCCAGATTTTTGGTAGAGTTTTTGAATTTTTTTGGTAGGAATCAATTATTTTGACATGATAGGCAACAATTACATTATGATTTTCAATATCTGTTTATTTATATCTTATTTTATTAGTAGTAATATAATTGTTTTATACTCTTTCAGTTACACAATTTATTTTCATGTTAAATTCTTTTTTATATCTCTTCCATAATGAGTGAAACTATGGCAAGTCAAATATGACTGTTCCAAAAATTCTTTACTTGGTGATTAATGACCAGAAAAATTACAAAAGTCTTGGTAGAAACTTTGCATGTTTTCGTAATATATTGTTGTTGTTACTTGTTGTCACTGATTCCTTTCGTTTTGTCTTTAACCGAGGGTCTATGAGAAATAATTTATTTTTCATCGCATGATAGGGATAAAGTCTGCGTATACATTATCCTTCCAAATACACTTGTGGAAACACATTCGGTTTGTTGTTGTTGTTGTTTATGCACAAACCATAGCCCTAGCTACGTATTTGCGAATCTATCAAGTAAAGTGTATACAGAAATATTTAAATTGAAAAAAATTAGTAACAAATTTTTTTTCTTCACTTTTTTGAAACTTCATAAAGGACGGTTGGCTTGTTCATTGGCAGAGGTGAGATCATGATTCCAAAAGAACCTCGAGGTACTATGCATGATGATTGATGGAATAGTGTCTAATCCATACAAAAAGGTAGAATTTTTTTATTATTTATTTTATGAACGAAAAATTCTATTGTACTTAGATCAATGTGACATTACAAGATATCATTTCAGGACAAGCATCTTACTAAAACTCAATTAAATCACTAGTGATTATTGAGTTAATAAAATTTTCACGCACATCAAATACATTAGCACCACCTACTTTCCATTTTTAACAAGCATATGTTATTTCCCTTTTGATGTTTTTTTACTTATTATGTTGATTCTATCTCTAAAAATTTATTTCCGTGCAAAAAGAAAACTAATGGCATAAAGATAATCGTTCCTTTTAAATTCAATCATTAATCAATATCAATGATTTAAATAAATTTCTTGTGGTAGAAAATCAAAAAAATTAACCAAGGTAAGTGGAGAGAACCTAATTGAAGAATTAACCCAACTAGCCGTCGTTCATCCAACCACATAAACTAAAAATAGCCGGTAGAGGTATAACTATATGTGTATATTTATGTACAATCAATGTATATTTTATGTATATGACTAGAAACAGTAAACAATGAATACGACCGGCTATATATGTAAAGATTCCAAGTTAATTTTGGAGGAGTCAGAACCAAAGGCATTATTATTGAAGTGAATTCTCTTCTGTTATCAAAAATGGTAGGAGTATTATTAAGGGATTTTTTCCTAACTATACCATATATGAAACCTTATTACTAAAAATGTGCATTGTTTGTTAATTACCCGCCCAGTCCATGTTTTGCCTATAAACTTTGTACCATTCGACTATTAGGCATTAAAGGGTAGAATATTCCCTAAAATTAAGGAGAAAATCTTGGTGTTAATTGATTCTACATTAATTTTAATTTTTAAAAAGGGAAAGGAGATTTCTCATCTACGTATTTTTCTCCAGGACTACAATTCAAATTCTCGAAAAAAAAAGAACGAACAATTCAAATTTTCGAGTTTCAACATCTCAAAGTTGAAAAAATTTGTTCTTCGTCGTTTCTTCGTTTCTTCTAGTATCGCTAAACCACATCTTAACTGCATTTTTCTAGAAAAGAAAATGGCATACGATTTTATCTGCTTTGCTTTCCTCAAGATGCAGCCAGCATGATGTCACATCTGATTCAAAAAAAACAAGCACCAATTAAATGGACATAAAGTGGAGAGTTCAAAGGCAGATCAATGACAATAACTTAAAGCTTGTAAGCAACAACAAAAATGAATAGAAAAAAATAACAGCAATAGGTCTTCTTAGTTTTAGAATATTATCTACAAATTTACTACATATATCTATAATTTGACTACAATTTCTTTATTTGGTGCAGGAAAAAAATATTTTAATATATAGTGTCTCCAGATTGTAGATAAATTGTAGGCAAATTGTAGTTTAGTTATAGTTTGTAGTTAATTTGTAGATAAATTGTAGATAAAATGTAGATATATTGTAGATACTATATTTTTAATATTGTAACTTTTTTTTTTGTGTTTGTTCTGAAAATATAGGTGAGGGCTTCAACAGATCATATACATACTGTGTTGGATGGTGTGAAGCGGTACATTGTGTGTCTAGAAACAAAAACTGTAGATGTGGCCTAAGTTCCAACGTTGAAGAACCTTCCGATGTGTAAACTTNCAAGAAATGTAGATGTGGCCAATTCCAACTTGAAGAACTTCCATGTGTAAATTGTTTCCAGATTGTAGTTATAATGTAGGTTAAATGTAGTTAATTTGTAGTTTTTGTAAAATTTTGTAGACAATTTGCAGATTAATTGTGGATGTCAAATTTCTACAATCTCTTCATCTACAAAATTTCTACAAAAAACTACAAATAACAGAACAAATTTACAATTGAGAATTGTTGATTGATTTATTGAGGAAGTCTTCTGTGTTCATCGTCTAATTCAACTTCGCGTACTGCCTCCATTTTCAAATCTTCCTCCATCTTTGAGCCTTTCTTCTACTTCGCTTAACCCCAACAGAGACGCAGAGAAACACTTCGAAGATTTGATTAATTTGATTTGATTTTGCCGCTGGTATTTGGTATTTGCCGGAGTGAGAGATTACTTCCATCTGTTTAAAAGCAATGGATTTTTACGGCGCTGGTCAGATCTTAGGAATTAAGGGGAGAGAGAAACGTGGGATATATGGATACCTTTAATTAAGGAGTAAAAACTGCCCATTAATTAGACCCTTAATTAAGTATGGTATAGGATTGGTAATTTGGTATACGGGTTTGTAATTAAATCAAACCTTAAACATGAAGGGTAAAAAGGTTTCCTATGTAGTATAGGAAGATAAAAATCCCTATTATTAATGAAGTTCGAGACAAGGCAACTCTAATTGAACTTTCCTTTAGTCACCTCAATATCATAGCATACAATAATGTAATCCTGTCTTAAATGTGAATTGTCATATGATCAATCATAATTGAGCACTTAATTAATCATGAAGAGATTAAAATAAGTTAAGTCCTCTTGGAGAGACCGTTGACCTTTCCAAAAAAATAGAGGCAAACTTCCAATTCTGTTTTCACCACTTTTCTTTACTGTATTTTATTCAAGTTTTCCGATCCATATGCCAAACACCAATCAAGCACCAGGTAACTTTTTCCTCAAAAATAATCACACCATGTTCTAGGAATATATACTTGTATATATAATTCAATCAACAAGACTACTCAAAACTCCCCCTATGACACACAGAGTACAAGAGAAAGAAGAAACAGATCTCAAGCTCTTTATAGATGCAGCGATCTTTTTGGTTCTAAAATAGTAAATAGATAGGAAAAAAAAGGCAAAGAAAAAGGCTCTGACTGTATAAAGTCTGAGCTGAGATTTCTATATCTTCAATTCTCTTCTTCCACCTCCAGTTTCTTTGTCAACTTGTTCAGATCCGTCACTATTTTCACTTTATAACTTTGCTATCATCTTCTCATATAACCATCCAGCAAATACAATAGTTTCTTGAATCTTGATATTTGGAAACATTGGTTTATTTGAGAAATGGGAACAGGTTGGAGAAGAGCTTTTTGCACAACAATCCCAAGAGACAGAGAACCTCATTTTGTTGATAAACATGCACAAGATTCACAACAACAACAAAATGGACAACAAATCCCAAGCCCAAGAAGCTGCACAAAGCTTGGTTTTTTATCAAGTAGCAATCCTTCTACTCCTCGTTTGCGTTGTAAAACCAATAAAGCAAACTCCAACGATATCAACAGCCTTATTAGTCCCAATCTCCATTGCAAAACAACCCCAAAATCCAACACCAAAAGCCCAAAAACTTTTCTTGGTTCCAATCCATCTTCTCCAAGATCTCCCTTTTCAATTCTTAAAAACACCCTCCGCCTCTCAAAAGTAAGTAGTAACTTTTACACATTTCAATATATCATTTCTCTGTTTTTTTCCCCTCAATTATTTGTAAAAATCTAATCTTTTTGTATTTGCAGCAAAGCTGTGGAGTTTGTACACAGAATGTGAAATCAGGACAAGGAATGGCAATATACACAGCAGAATGCTCTCATACTTTTCATTTTCCTTGCATTGCTTCTCACGTTAGAAAACAGAGCACTTTGGTTTGTCCTGTTTGTAATTCCACTTGGAAAGATGTACCCCTTTTAGCCATTCATAAACTTCAACAACAACAACAAGAATCATATCCCAATACCCCAACCAGAAAACAAGAAAAGCCGCAAACTTTGCTACCAAATGTGAAAACTTATTACAAACCAGAGCAGCAGCAGTGTGATTTCAAAGCTTATAATGATGATGAACCACTTTTGACTCCTAGAGCTGGAACTAAATTTGTTCCAATACCAGAAGCAAATGAAGAACAAGATGAAGATGAAGAAGTTGAAGAATTTCGTGGTTTTTTCGTGAATCCCATTTCGAGTGATGAAGCATTTGCTAATCAGAGAGATAATAACAGAGGTGTTGAAGTAAGTTTAATGCCTGAAGCTGCCCTTGTTTCAGTTGGCAGAACTCATGAGACTTACGCTGTTGTTTTGAAGGTCAAAGCACCACCACCTCCGCCAATGTCTCCGGTGGGGAATGCTAATACCGGGATGGGCAATTTTCTAGGCTCGACCCGGCGTGCGCCGATTGATTTGGTGACTGTGTTGGATGTGAGCGGTAGCATGAGTGGAGCTAAGCTTCAGATGTTAAAACGAGCTATGAGATTAGTTATTTCCTCTCTCGGCTCAGCTGATCGGCTTTCAATTGTGGCTTTTTCGGCTACGCCGAAAAGGTTACTTCCATTGAGAAGAATGACTCAACAAGGTCAACGCTCGGCTCGGCGCATTGTTGACCGGCTTGTTTGTAGCCAAGGGTCTTGTATGGGCGAAGCTTTGAGGAAAGCAACAAAAGTACTTGAAGATCGGCGGGAGAGAAATCCAGTGGCTAGCATTATGCTGTTATCGGACGGTCAGGATGAGAAGATCCAGGGAAGTAACACTCACAATCCACGGTCGGAATCCGCCCACGTGTCTTCGACACGTTTTGGTCATATAGAAATTCCGGTTCACTCTACTGGCTTTGGTAAAAAAGCTGGCTACAGCTATGAACCGGCCGAAGATGCTTTCTCAAAATGTGTTGGCGGTTTATTGAGTGTTGTGGTTCAAGATCTGAAAATCCAGCTGGATTTTTCTTCCGGTTCAGACCCGGCTGAAGTTGCGGCAGTTTATTCTTACAACGGTCGGCCAACGGTTCTCAGCTCGAGCTGTGTTCGGCTCGGCGATCTCTACGCCGAGGAGGAAAGAGAGTTACTATTAGAAGTAAAGGTCCCAACGATGACTAATGGGTCACACCATGTGTTATCCGTTAGATGCTGTTACAAGGACCCCGCAAGTCAAGAAGCAGTCTATGGAAGAGAACATTCTTTGCTTGTTCCGAGACCTCAAGCCGTTCGATCATCCCTTCCGAAGATCGAACGGTTGAGGAATCTCTTTATAACTACGAGAGCAATCGCAGAGTCTAAGAGATTAATCGAGCACAACGAGCTATCTAGCGCGACGCAATTACTATCATCGGCTCGAGCATTGTTGATACAATCGGGCTCAGCTTTTGTCGACGAGTATGTTAGAGGCTTAGAAGCCGAGCTAACCGAAGTGCAATGGAGGAAACAATATCAACAGCAAGTAGAGCAGCAAAAATTGATCCAACGACAGAGAACCAACGAGAGGGAAATCGGTTTGTTCTTAGACGAAAATGGCGAGCCGCTAACGCCTACATCGGCTTGGAGAGCAGCTGAAAAACTAGCTAAAGTGGCTACAATGAGGAAGTCGATGAATAGAGTCAGCGATTTGCACGGCTTTGAAAATGCTAGATTTTAAATTTTTCTTTTAATTTTGTAATAATTTGGATAGGTTTTAAGGACAGGGAAGCGGCCCACGGGCCATGGGGCCCAAATGCATATAGTAGCGACTGTTGGTACCGGACGGCTAGGCCCTTTCTGTAGAGTGTGACTCTTTTGGAGTACAGGCCCACTTAGTATTGATTGATTACTGGGCCATCGCTTTTTGTCCAGTGCTCTAGCTTTTTATTCGAAAATTGAAACTTGAAAGACATTGCTTTTGTATTGAACAACGTTAAAGGACAATCTAAATGCAATTTCTCATATGGCAAATTAATTTGAGGATTTTTCATAAAGCACTACAGTTTAGAGCCTAATTATCAGAAGTAATTATAGTTTGTGTAATTATCATTCGTAGCCACTGTTCAATTGTTACCAGCGTATAACATTTGTATTCAGACGTGCTATAATACAGCTTGTGTTAACTATATTCGTTGGCGCAACAAAAACAACATGTATTAACTGTATCCGTTCGTGCAACGAATACAACCAAGACGAAATACATGGCGTATATAACGAATATAACACTTATTGACTGTATTCATTCGCGCAACGAGTACAACCAAGGCGGCAGAAATACAGACCTTCCCTTACTAAGCGAATGGTTTAACCAACTGAGCTATAAGAGCTTGCTGCTCTCTTGTTTCAGTTCAAAACAATTGATCTCTTGTTTCAGTATTATATGTGAATTTGCTATAAAATTTAAATATAAGTACGAATGTTAATTTCTAAAAATATAGCTACGGATGGTAAATATAGTGTATATGTTTATTGTGGAGCGTAATTTTTTCTGTTAATTTTCACGCATCATTTCTTTTTCTTTTGGTGCAATTGTTATCCTTTTGACCTTTTCTTCTTGGAAAACATTTATGGGATACGTTAGCGCTACATTTATGGATTTACACTACCTTTGTTAATGCAAATTCGTATTATTAGCGAGAGCTGAGATTTAAGGATTATTTTATGGTGTCATTGGCTAGTATTTGCGTTAGTTAAATTATAAGCCACCAAATTGCCCATATAGTACTACTTATTAGGTATTTGATGAATTTTAAGGGTACCTCATATAATCTAGAGGCAGACAAAGTTCCACATCTTGAAATAGAACTTCATATCAAAGTCATTTTTGCTATACATGTGAAGAAGATAACTTATCCTCATTCAAAGTTTGAGGTGAAAGTTTATTTCTTGTACAAGGACAAGGAGACATGAAAGATGCTTTTGAATTTACTAACAACAAATAGTGCAAACAGAAAGTGACCTCAAACATAGGCTCAATAGGGGCCAAAGTCTGCGTTGCGTTTTCAGAATCGAAAAATTCCATGTCCCAACTTCTTTTCAATCTCTTCTATGTTTTGTACTACTTGAAACTGATGAACAAGATCACTTTATTTGTTGATGGATCTATGCATTTTTAGATGTTTAATGTGCTATAAGACTAAATAATAGTTTATTTGGAATGAAGAAGTTTCTGATAGAAAATGTTTGACCAAAAAATTAGATTGGTTAAAATAATTAAATTTATATAAATAAGGGTTAATCTTGGTTAACAATAATATTTTTAGATGGAGTTCTTAAAGAAGCAACAAATATTATGTAGATATAGTCGGACAGTGGCGGTGGCATATAATAAATATTCCAGAAAATAGAGGCAATACTGTAACATCCAATATCAATGAATAGCAATAAATGACATTTAAGTAAATAGAATGAATGAGTCACCCAAGAAATGATGGATTAAGTGGATGTTCTTTCTGACAATGATGAATGATAGACAATCCCTTGAATATTTGAGTTATTTGCGGATCTAGTGAAAAAGTGCAGACAAGAATCTCAGTGAAAAGGTGATGTTTGTATCTTAACAAATGAGATCTGATTCTCTTTCTCAAGTCAAAGTGTGTTCTTTACAAATGAATATCACATGTCCCCTATCATAGTGTATTTTTCTATTCATGGGGAACATGCTCCCAAAAAATCCTAATAGTATAAGTGCAGAGAATATTCACTAGAATATTCTCTATAATATCCTATCTTGAAACTAGCCGTTATAACTCAATCAAAAGTACTCGACCTCGGCCTCGACCCTTGTTGACTCCTCGACTTCGTCCCTTGTTAAGTCTTCGACTTCGTCCCTTGTTGACTCTTCGACCATGGACTTCGCCGCTTCTTGGGCCGTTTCGACAAACGACGACTTGGAAACTCTTCTCCTAGTACTATCTTGGCTTAAATATTCTAAAGATAGATTTTGACCCATAGAGTTAGTCCCTCCACTTATTGAGACTGACTTCAGGCGGGTTCGAAGAGCGGATCTTGTTCTTTGTGGTCGACACAATCGAGCGAGCTATGCAGGCCGTGGTGGTTGCGGCAAACTGGTAGCGTGGCCCTACGTGGGCCGCACATTTCAAACGCTTCGATTTTCCTGGGTGATTTACTAAAACTATGCTGTCCACGAGTTAGGATGACATTATGCGTCATTATGACGAATATTCCCGATGTGTTACTTCATTTCGCGTGTGACCTTTGATTGAACTTGCCGCTTCGGTTTTGGTGCCAATAATGATGAGCCGTTTTCGGTTCTGGTGCCAATGCCTTTATAAATAAAGATATTTGGACGCGATTTTGAGGTTTAAGTTTTCTGTTGTTTCGAAATCCCATATTTTCCTCTTGCTCTCTTCTTACTTTGAACTTCTCTTCTCCGTTCCAATGATTTGTATTGTTCTTAGCTCTTCCTCGTTTGATACCTCTCTTTCCTATATCAAACTATGTCTAACATACCTTCTGAGTCTGGTGAGGGAAGTCATGTGGCCCCCTTGGCTGTGTTTCCCTCCCACGAGGAGAGTGTTCCTACCACCGTTAAGGATGGAACCTTCCCGTCGGTGGAGGAGATAATTCCACGCAACCCTGATTCCAGATTCAATTTCACCAAATCACCTGATGCTGAACCTGGAGCCTATCGGTCAATGATGACAGTGAAGGAATTTGGAAGAGCTTAAGGCTAAGTTCGGCCTTCCCAATCACATTGAATTAATCCAGGTCGGGCGGGATACGGTGCTGTTCCACCGACTTGGGTATTGCACCTTTTATGCCTACCCCTTCCAAGTCGGCTATTTTCTCTCTCCTTTCACTAGTGGAGGAATTCTATCGTTATTACGGCGTTTGCCCAGCTCAACTCGTGCCGTATGTTTATAAACTTATAAAGATGCTTACCAAATTTGCCGAGCTAGCCAGGGTCGAGTTGAAACTTCGACACTTAATACATTTGTTCGCCCCTAGCTTTTATAGGGGAACGATGTCGAATCTTCGCCACCGAGGGGGAAAATGCTTGGTGGTGAAGATGGACGACAAAGCCAACCGCTAATTCTGATTCAACTTCTTTTTTGTCAGAACCGAGGACGTGGTGGCCAATGTCAACGGTTTGCTTGAGGCTTGGATTTATGCTCGTAAGTACCTAATTTCCTTGCTTGTAGTATCTGATTTTTCTCCTATGCTAGGTCGTGGGCTTTGACCTCTTATCCGCTTCTCATGCAACCAAAACCTCTCCCCCTCTTTCGGTCGCTCATATTTCTGACTGGGTCGATCGGCTCCTCCCTCACATTGTAGGGATTCGTGAATGGTCAAGTTTCTTCAAGAAGTTTGGGCCTGCTCTCCCTTCGACTGGTAAGTTCCTTTTACCATCGGTGTCTTAGTTATTTTTTTTTTGTTTACCTTTGTTGACCTTTCCCTTTCCTTGTGTTTCCTTAGCTTCAGCTAGGGGATCTTCGAGGAGGTCGAGAGCTCCCCCACCCTTATTCCGGAAGAGGAAAGTTACTATGTCCTCGGCTCCCGCCCCTTCTTCGACTGCGGTTGATCCTGCTTTAGTCCCGGTCCCTTCTGTTTCTGTATCCGAATCTTTCCCTCCTTCGGCCTGGGGACTTTGGATGCAGAGACCTCAACTTCTCCTTTGTACGCTCTTATAGACGAGGATAATGAACATTTGCTCGGTGTTGGAGATTTGATGCCTCGTAAGAGGAGGGCCGTGGACTCCGAGGGAGAGAGGTCGACGGCCGCTGATGTAGGAGATTGCGATTTTGTCCTTCAGGAAACGACCACAATACATATTGGGTAGAGCACAAAGGCTAGTCTCGAGGTCATTTGTTTGTAGGATATGGATATACGGCCTGTGGGGGATGAGTTCGAAGGCGTGGTGGGCAGTGACGATCCTTTTCTTCCAAGACGCGAAGAGGCCTTGTCTTTCGGGATTGCGGCGGACGTACCTTCTTCGACTGATGATGGAGGTAAGGCTGTTGCTGAGGAGGATATTAGATCCGATTCTGACATGGATGTACACGAGCTGAGGATGATTGATGAGGGGCTTACTCAGCTTGAAGTAAGGTTGGAGGGGAGTTCAAGGACTATTACGATCCTGATGGACCATAATCTTCTCGTGGATACCGAGAAGATTATCCCATCCCTTGTCCCTCTTAGTTCTGAATTTGAGGGTGCGACCCTCAAGACTATGAATAACATTGTCGGCCTCACCCTTCGGGTAAGTACATTTACTGTTAGTTGTTTTCCTTTGGTTTTGTTTCTTTCACAGTCTCTAACTTCCTTTGTTCATTTTGTAGACGGTCGTCTTAGAAATTGAGAGTGCTCGTAGGAAGAAAAGGCGTAAAGATATCTATGTGAAGTTGAAGGACAAGTACTTCAGAGTCCTTCAGAAGTCAGGAGCTATAGTGTCGGCTTCATGAAGGCGCCGATGTGCGCCAACTGAGGGAGGAATTGAAGGCCAGAGACAAGGAGCTGGTGCGGATTGTGGGGAACTGCAACGTCCTGGAGGGGACGTTGAGGAGCAAAAAGGAAGAGCTTGAGCTTAGCAACAGGGCCGAAGTTCAGTGCAGTGATCTCCAAGCTCAGGTAGTGATGTTGCATGGCCAGCTCGAGGAATGTCAATTTCGGGCGGAAGCTCTTAGTGGCAAGGTCACTGAGAAGCAAGGCGAGCTAGAGAAGGCGGAGTCTGCGTGGACGAAGGCTTTGAGGAAGGCGGAGTCCGTTGAGGTGGTGATTCGGACTCTCCGTTCCGAGCGAGAAAACGATTGAACGATGGCCAAGCTCAAAGAAGAACAGCTCAATGTAAGGATTAGGGAGTTAGAGAGAGAGATTTCTGGCCTCTACGATCGAGTTGTTGCTCTGGAGGCCGAGAAGGCCCAATTACTGGCACAACCGTCCTGTTCCCGCACTTCAGATTTTCCTAATGATCCTCGGGAGTTATATGAGGAGTGGATTCATGCCGAGGCCCAGCTAGATGT